GCGTCTGCTCTTGTTGCTGAGCTCGTCGACTTTGCTGCTCGCTGTCGTCTAGACTACGCTGCCGGTCTTGTTGCTGAGTCTGCGTCTGTCTGTCCTCCGTCCGTCGGGGGTGAGTGTGCTCTTGGCACGGACGTCCTTGAGGACAGGCAGGAGGAGTTCCAGTGTCTGGCTGCTGCTTCACCTCATCTCGCGTCCGTACTACTTGCCCCTGAGGGAGACCCGGATGCACTAGACATCCCGACTCCGCGCTCTTACGCGGAGGCCGTAGAGGGTCCCTACTCCTCTCAGTGGCAGGCAGCTATGGATGCAGAGATGGCGTCCTGGAAGTCCACAGGCACCTACGTTGACGCGGTTCCCCCTCCTGGGGCGAACATCGTCAGTGGCATGTGGATCTTCAGGGTGAAGCGGCCGCCGGGCTCTCCACCTGTCTTCAAGGCGCGGTACGTCGCTCGTGGCTTCAGTCAGCGGCAGGGAGTTGACTACTTTCAGACCTTCTCTCCCACCCCGAAGATGACCACTCTTCGGGTGCTGCTGCACATAGCCGCTCAGCGCGACTACGAGCTCCACTCTCTTGACTTCAGCACTGCTTTCTTGCAGGGTGGCCTGCACGAGGAGATCTGGCTGCGCCGTCCACCTGGCTTCACTGGGACTTTCCCTCCTGGCACCCAGTGGAGCCTCCGACGGCCAGTCTACGGTCTCCGCCAGGCACCGCGTGAGTGGCACGACACACTGAGGACTACGCTTGCGGCTCTTGGGTTTGCTCCCTCTACTGCTGACCCGTCGTTGTTTCTGCGCACCGACACTTCTTTGCCGCCGTTCTACATCCTCGTGTACGTCGACGACTTGGTCTTTGCCACAGCTGACACTGCTGGACTAGCCTACGTGAAGTCCGAGCTGCAGAAGAGACACACGTGCACAGACCTGGGTGAACTGCGCAGCTACCTTGGCTTGCAGATCACTCGGGACAGAGCACGCCGCACCATTACCTTGACTCAGTCACACATGGTGCAGCAGGTCCTTCAGCGCTTCGGCTTCACGTACTCCTCGCCTCAGGCCACTCCTCTGTCTACTCGCCACTCGCTCTCAGCTCTGCCTTCGGATGAGTCCGTAGAGTCGAGTGGCCCGTACCCAGAGCTTGTTGGTTGCCTCATGTACCTGATGACCTGCACACGACCTGACCTTGCATACCCTCTTAGCATTCTTGCACGCTATGTTGCTCCTGGGAGACACCGACCAGAGCACATGGCTGCAGCGAAGAGGGTGTTGCGCTACTTGTGCAGTACGTCGGGCATGGGGCTAGTGCTTGGAGGGCGGAGTCCAGTGGTGCTCACTGGGCACGCGGACGCTTCTTGGGCTGACGACCAGGCTACGCAGCGGTCGTCGCAGGGTTACACCTTCAGTCTTGGTTCCGGCTCTGTCTCGTGGCGGGCTACTCGCTCGTCCTCTGTTCTCGGCTCCAGTTGTGAGGCTGAGATCTACGCCGGGGCCATGGCTGCACAGGAGCTTCGCTGGCTCACCTACCTGCTGACTGACCTTGGAGAGCCGCCTCGTTCTCCTCCAGTGCTGTACGTAGACAACAAGGCCATGCTGGCCTTGTGTCGAGAGCAGCGCTTGGAGCACAGAACGAAGCACATTGCTCTCCGTTACTTTCTTGCTCGTGAGCTGCAGCAGCGTGGTCAGTTGCGACTTGCGTACGTGGCCTCTGAGGCCAACACTGCTGATGTGTTCACCAAGGCACTTCCGCCTTGTGACCATCAGCGCTTCTGCACTCAGCTGGGTCTTGTACCTGTCTTGCCTCACTTGCTCTCCTCTTGACCTTGCTTGTACTGTCACATATATATACCTGCTCTTGCTTGTCTAGCTCTATATATATATGTGCACTCCTGCATGTGAACTGGCCTTGTGGCCTTGTCGTTGTGCTCGGACTGTGTGGTGACTTTGTGATCCACCCTGAGCTTGCTGTTCTTTGCGTGACTGGTCTTGTGACCCCTTGTTCTCCCCCACTTTGCCTATGGGGGTGTGTCAGAACATATATATAGCTTATGCTGTTGTGTAGGCTATAGTGGGGTATCCCATAGGGGGTACAACCCAATTAGGGTTTCCTATATGTACTCACTTCATTCATAGTTCATCCATTCTCGTTCTCATTCTCACACCAGTCAGGTCCAAGGCCCGAAAGGACCATGGAGACGAACATATCGTCGGGAACGGTTCCGCCGCACTTTTTGATGTGGTCGCGCAGATTGCGGCACCGATTGATGTACGGTGCCGCCTTCTCCCCTTGTTGCATTTTGACCGATGTGAGTTGGCTGAGTAGGCGACTCATAATAACGGGATCCGTTGCCATGTATGAGTTGCGCAGGTGCTCCCAAGTAGAGTATGCGGGTGCCCACTCTGATTTATAGGAGCGGATGCCAAGCTGTTCGGCGGGAGAGAGATTTCGGAGGAGGGTGGTGTACGCGAGAAGAGACTCGTGGTAGTACTGGTTCTTCTCTTGGATGGTGCCCTCCGTCGGAAACTTTAAGCTTCCGTCGTAGTACATCCAGATTTGCGCGGTTGTCGCGAGGAGCTCAAACTCGAAGCTCGACGTGTAAAAATCCTTGCCGTCGAAGGGAACTGATGTCTTCAGCTTTGAAGTTAGAACAAACTTTGTCTGCATTGTCGCAATTGTTTCTGTGCGATGTTGACTGTCTTGCGCAGGAGCTGAAGCTTGACGATTGTCGAAGGTGAATGACCTCTCGGAGTTGACACGGCGGTCTTCTCCAGGGAGAGGGAGTCCAGCAACTCCACGTGCATAGCTCGAGCCATCGATGCTCATGGCTTGATGGCTCTCAAGAGCGTTGATGCGGGCGACCAGCTGCTCAACGAGAGCGGCGCTGACGGAGGTCACCGCTGATGGTGCAGTGGGTGTTGCTGGTGGTGGGCCCGGAGAATCTGCATTCCCCTTTTCAGGAGCCATAGTGATGCAGAGCTTGTAATTGTTTAACGAGTAATTTATAAAGAGGTTGTTCTAGAAAGAACGAGAATCTTAGCAGTCCTTATAATCCACTCTAGCTCTCATACCATGGTGTTATAGGTGAAGGATCGTAGTGAACAGGATAAGGCTGTTAGGTTCAAGGAAAGAGACTAAAGTCTCTGAATGACCTTGTTGATAAGATTGAAAGAGAACAAGATGATTAAATGATAGTGATACAAGGAATAAGCAATCCTAGCTAGCCATATACTCTGAGGGGTACATTCCCTTATTAACTGAATTACATTGCTACAGTAACCACGACTATTGATATTCTTTGACAGTTACCGTGTTGCAGCGCGTAACTACCAAGTGCGGTTACTGGGCAGTCAAGGGGCACGACCGTTGACTGTCTTCGACTGTTGACCTTCGGGTGACCCTCGACCTTCCGCATGCTGTATATGAGCTATTGCGATACTGATACAGGCGCGTTGCTTCGTTATGGAGTGACGCGCGAGTGGAGAGCCTTCGGGAATGTTATAATAACCTTTCGGTTATTCCAACACCGACTAAATAAAAACTTGGAAGATGTGGTTACGGTATGTTATGTTACAATCAAGTTACTAAACCGCTGTACAAGTACATGTCATCTGCTCTGCAGCTGCTACTTCCCACTATTAAATGTTCATGGATGCATGTCAATTTCAAGTGAGTGAGCATTGATGGAATTAATCTAGGATGGAATTAATCTAATCAACATTTTCTTAGCACACCTCCTTTGTTGTCAATTTCAGGCCCCTAATAATGAGCACCGACGCTTCTATTACTGGAATTTCAGGCTTGGTTTGCTCATGAATCTTAGGAAGCGTTCGCCTGGCTGGTGAGCGTTGTTTCAAAATGTGGTCATTCTGTCCAGACTGGTGAAACGCGTCTTGATATCATCCGAAATATACATTCCTTGTGACACCTCGCAGGGGCTGCTGGTTCGGTTCTGGGGTGGTTCTGGCTTGGGACAAGCCTAGCCAGTTTGTTCGCTGGTCGGACCTGGAGACAGCTTTGTTGACCCTCAGGTCTTTGAATTGCTGTACGGAATGGCGGGCGGTTGCCATTGGAAGTGCGTGATTACGTCTATTGGTCTACCTTCTCGAAACCCTACCCGACCCGATCGTTCTGAAATGTATACGAGCCGTTTTAAATAGCACTCCACCGCATAAATGTGAACTTGAACCGCCCAGCTTGACCTGGTCCATTACCCAAACTACGCTTTCGTCTCAAGCGGGCTTTAGTTAGTTGTGATACATGTGTGCTATAGAACCTGCAGAGTGATAACTATCAAACCTACTGTCAGCAACAAGCGGGCTGGCGTTAGGAAGTGCCACCATCAGTAGCCATTAGTCGGCCTTCGCGTCGCTCCCACCTTCCTTCACATTACAAGTCACATTGGCCAGAAGCCTACCGTTAGTGTTGGCACGTTCGTTGGTGTTGGAATGCTACCCATAAGGTTCAAGGAGGCTGATAGTTGCTGTTGTTTACCCTACCTAGCGACCCGAAATAGTTTCTCTTAAACACGCTACATTGGCTAGATAACAACAGTTGCTTGACGCGACATACATGATCGTATATATTTCGCGAGAGTTTTGTCTTTAGCGGCGTTGTTTTAGCCAAAAAACATACCCGGCGATCGTAATTTATTTCGTAGGTATTTGCTTAGCTTATTTCTCCGACATTCTTTCTTTCTCCTACGCCACGAGGCTTGCTACGTTATTCCTTTGTTACCAAACATCCACCAATGCCCTTTTAAGTTTGGACGAGCACGGCAATCGACAATGCCGCGTTATTGAGCTCGCGGTATTAGCCTCCTAACCCTAGACAGCGTCCTATGGGGTGTATACAGTCCAAACCGGCTGTCAAGGACCGATTACCAGATCGACTCAACGAAGATGAAAGTGGATCGGCGAAAATTGACGAAACATCGCAATCGCAAGCCAAGGTAGCGTCGGGTCGCAGCATTGACGATGCGACGGCTGGAAAATCGGTTTCGGGTCGCATGCCGTCGCTTTTCAGTAAAAGCCGTCGCAGGGATGACCAGGGCGACAGCACGGACGACGGCGACGACAAAGGCGTGGAGGCGTCGCCGCGGGAAGCGCCGGCCATACACTGCCTGCCAACGGGGAGCGGCCGTGGATTCAAGGTATTATTGTCGTGCGAACGAATACGGTGTTTAGAGTAATAATTGTACTGGTGTTGTAATGTACTGATGCTGAACGAGTAAATGCAGTGCTTCAGTAGTCTTAAAGGTGCTGCTAATGTCGTACGGGTAATTAAGGACTTATGGTGCTAACTGTACTAAGCTAATCCGTTTTTCTGCGTTTTAGCCTTCGGTGATCGCCACTTTGATAATATGTGTATGGGCTATGCTGACATCGAATCGTAGAGTGCAGTGCAGCAGAGGGTAAAATATCAGAGGTCAGTAAAGGCCTTACGAAGGAAAGGTTGGGAAGCTCAGATGCTAACCCGTTGAGTATGATAGCAGCCTGAGGGAAACGGGAATACAGTCAGAATGAGCAAACCCTAACCAGCTGTCGTCAGGATGACAGATGCTTGGCATATCTATCTGCCGTCAGGTTGGACCAAACCCTAGTCAGTTATCGCGTTGCACCATTGTCACAATTGTCATCCTTGCGTCCCCCATCCGCTTCATCCTGTGCCCAGGTCTCCCCTCCCTCACATGCAATATGCGTCAGCTTTCCTTTGTTCAAAGCAACCCCCCACTCCTCTTTCCTCCCTCCCCACCCTCCTTCCCCCTCCCCCCCTCTCGCCACCCACACACAAACCCCCCTCCTCCTGTTCCTCCATTCTCCCCTCCTCCCCGCCGTCCCCGCTCCCTCCTTATTCTCTCCCTGAGAGAGTAAATCCATAGTAAATCCTTATTCTCTCCATTCCTCCCCTCTTCCCCCTCCCCCCCCCCCCCCTTTCCCCCCTTTTTCTTCCCCCGCACCTCCTGACTTATTTCTCTCCCCCCCCGGTTCTGCTGCTGTGGGGTCACCGTTAGGCTGTTGTGACCGGCACACAGTTGTCACCTTTTCACCGTTGTTCACATCACTAGTTCACAGGTGACACGGTGACATTCAACGCATCAATGATTCTGTTCCGTCTGTGCCTGTGTCTGTCTATCTGTCGCCCTCCCCTTCTCCGCTGCCCTCTTCCCAACAGTCATTACGGTCCTCAGCTTCACCAGCAGACGCTGTTGCCGCACCAATCGACTTGACTTTTGAGTCAACTCAAAAGTCAACTCTCCTCTCTTCTGTTGCCCTTTCCCCCCAACAGTCATCGCAGGCCTCAGCCTCACCAGCAGGCGCTGCTGCCGCACCTGCTGCATCACCCACGAGAGGGTGAGTCACTCAGCCTACACTGCACGTATCTTCATTCATGCGGCTAGACACAGCCGTCTTTTTTAGAAAAAGCCGCAACAGCTGTTTGAAATGCACCGCACCACATGAGCGTGAGTCGCCAAACCTGCATTTATCCTTTATACGACCAGACTATGGTCTTGCAATGCATGCACTTCGGTGTTTTGAATGAGAGCCAGTTTGTTTTTTTTCTTGTAAACTTAAGGCCAGGAACTGAGCCCAATGTTTGATGCGGATCCCAAAATGCTCTGTCTCCACTACCCCTCCTTTCTTTTTAACTATTATTTTGACATTTCATTGCCTGTGCTTTTGACTTGCAGGGAAGCGCCTGCAGCAGAGGAGGCGACCACCCCTGTTGGCCCCAAGCTCATCCGCTCCAAGGGCAAGTGAGTGGCAGAGGTTCAGTTCTTGCAGTGCCATGTGTAGCATGTCTTTTTCATGCATCTCAAAAGCCACCCCTGAGGCCCCAAGCTCATCCGCTCCAAGGGCAAGTGAGTAGCCGAGGATCAGTCCTCGCAGTGCCATCCATCGCATTGCATGTCGTTTAATGTGCCTCAAAGTCACCCCTGTGCGCCCCAAGCTCATCCTCCTCGCGACAAGTGAGTGGCTGGCTGGCAGAGGCTCAGTCCTTGCATTGCATCTTCCATTCGTAGCATGTCGTTTAATGCGCCTCAGAGTCACAGCTGTGCGCCCCAAGCCAAGCTCATCCTCGCGACGAGTGAGTGGTTGGCAGAGGCTCTGTCCTTGCATGTTCCATTCGTAGCACGTCTTTTCAGGCGCCTCAAAAGTCACCCTCGTGGGCTCCCAAGCTTATTGATTGCAAGCGCAAATGAGTACCAGATGCTGAGTCCTTGCAGGTGTCATCCGTCCGTAGCATGTCTCTGCTCTGCTGCCTCTCCCCTCCAACTTCAGAATCGAGATCATGGGGTTCGAAGTGGCAGGCAAACGTGATACTGCGGGCAATCAACCTGCGGCAGTAAGTCACTGCTGGGAGCGAGACATAGAGGACCTGAGGGCTCATCCCCCCCACCCTTTCCCACCCCTTTACCCCACGCTTCCCCACCCTTCCCTCCACACCCTTTCCCACCCCTTCCCCCATCCCGTTCCATTACCCCACCTCCCACTCCCTTCTACCACCAGAATCGAGATCATGGGGTTTGAAGTGGCGAACGTGATCGTGCGGGCAATCAACCTGCGCCAATCGCTGCTCGAGCGGGATATAGAGGACCTGAGTGCTCACTCCTCCCCCCCCACCTTCCCCTCTCCTCCCCGCCCCTCCCTCCTTACCCCTTTCCCGGCCTGCCTCTCTCCTTCAACATCAGAATCGAGATTATGGGGTTTGAAGTGGTGAACGTGATCGTGCGTGCGGGCAATCAACCTGCGTCAGTCGCTGTTAGAGCGGGATATAGAGGACCTGAGGGCTCACTCCTCCCCCCCCACCTTCCCCTCTCCCCTCCACCACCAGAATCGAGATCATGGGGTTTGAAGTGGCGAACGTGATCGTGAGGGCAATCAACCTGCGGCAGTCGCTGCTCGAGCGGGATATAGAGGACCTGCGGGCGGAGGTGTTGGCGTCTGAAGGGATAAGGATGCTGGTCTCAGACGATTTCTACCACGTCTGGTGCATCGCTGCCGAGGACAAGCGGTGCGTGCTTGGGAGAGGGAGTGTTGTGTGTCTGGGTGTGTTGGGCCGGTGAGCGCTGACATAGAGGACCTGCGGGCGGAGGTGCTGGCATCTGAGGGCATAAGGATGCTGGTGTCAGACGACTTGTACCACTTCTGGTGCATTGCTGCCCAGGACAAGCGGTGCGTGGGGGAGGGGGGTCACGGCCGGGATGGGATGGGATGAATGAGAGTAGGTGCGTGGGAGGGACACGGGTGCTGGGGCTGGCTGGGACGGGTGGTAGTAGGGCCGGTGGGTGTGGGAGCGGGATATAGAGGACCTTTGGGCGGAGGTGCTGGCGTCTGAAGGGATAAGGATGCTGGTCTCGGATGATTTCTACCACGTCTGGTGCATTGCTGCCAAGGACAAGCGGTGCGTGCGTGCGTGGGAGGCGGGCGGTGGGGCTGGGATGGGCTGGGATGGGGTGGGTGGGTGGGATGAGAGTAGGTGTGTGTGTGGGGGAGAGGGGGGAAAGTGGGGGAGGAAGGGGAGAAGAGGGTGTTGAGGCGGTGAGTGCAGGAGCGAGATATAGAGGACCTGCGGGCGGAGGGAGGTGCTTGCGTTGGAGGGCATAAGGATGCTGGTGTCAGACGACTTGTACCACGTCTGGTGCATTGCTGCCCAGGACAAGCGGTGCGTGCGTGGGACACGGGTGCTGGGGCTGGCTGGGTGGGACAGGTGGTGGTAGGGCCGGTGGGTGTGGGAGCGGGATATAGAGGACCTGCGGGCGGAGGTGGTGGCATCGGAGGGCATAAGAATGCTGGTGTCGGACGACTTGTACCACGTCTGGTGCATTGCTGCCCAGGACAAGCGGTGCGTGGGAGGCGGGTAGTGGGGCTGGCTGGGACGGGTGGTAGGGCCGATGGGTGTTAGAGCGGGATACAGAGGACCTGAGGGCGGAGGAGGGCATAAGGATGCTGGTCTCGGATGATTTCTACCATGTCTGGTGCATTGCTGCCCAGGACAAGCGGTGCGTGGAAGGGACACGGGTGCTGGGGCTGGGATGGGATGGGATGGGATGGGGTGGGATGAGAGCAGGTGTGGGTGGGTGTGTGTGTGTGTGGGTGCGTGCACGTGTGTGTGTGGATGTGTGTGTGTGTGTGGGGGGGGGGGGTGTGTGTGTGTGTGTGTGGGTGCGTGTGTTGAGCCGGTGAGTGAGGGAGCGGGACATAGAGGACCTTCGGGCGGAGGTGGTGGAATCGGAGGGCATAAGGATGCTGGTGTCAGACGACTTGTACCACGTCTGGTGCATTGCTGCCGAGGACAAGCGGTGCGTGGGAGGGAGAGGGGCAGGTTATTATTGGTTGGGTCAACCTCTTGGATTGGGTGGATGGGATGAGATGAATCGTGAGAGTAAAACATCAGAGGCAGCCAAGTCTACAGGACAATAAGCCTCGCTGTGTAGATGAAGCTTCAGAGAGAAGTTTAGGGGACATAAGGCTACGGTTGAGCACGTACTATCTTCGAAAATAGCCTCCGTCTTTTCCCTCTTCTCATCCTGTTCCTCTCACCGGTCCCTTTCCCCCCAATCTCAATTCAGGGGCGAATTAAGAGCAGTGGCGAGGGACGTGGCACGGCTAGGCAAGCAGTGTCTTGACCCCGCCCTACATTCGCTCACCCAAGCGTTTGACGCGTGAGTGGGGTGTTATGCACATTTGACACTTGAGCCAAGGGGGCTTGACAAGTGAAGGGTGGGTGCGTGATGCGTGAGTGGTGCAATGTAGTGGCCGTTTGACATGTGTATGGTGGGCGTTTGATGCGTGATTGGGGTGTTATGGGCATTTGACACTCGAGCGATGGGGGCTTGACAAGTGAAGGGTGGGTGCGTGATGCGTGATTGGTGCAATGGCCGTTTGACATGTGTATGATGGGCGTTTCAGGTGTGAATTTCAGCACCGATTGTGTGACTTTCAGGGGGTCTTAACGTTGAGCTTGGCAGCAGCAGAAATCATGACTCCTCCCTGCCTCAGGCCTGCCTATGTCCCCCTTTTCTTGACTTTTCACTCCCTTTATTTTTTTCATCCCCAATCACCCCTTCCCTCCTCCCTTTCCCCCCACCAGCCTCGGCACTATGGACGGTCCCAAGGGCAAAATGAACCCGCTTCATGCCTTTGTTCCCCCTTCCTCCTTTCTCCCTTCCCCTCCCACCTCCTCTCTCCCTCCCCTCCGCTTCCTCTCCCCCCACCAGCCTCGGCACGGCACCATGGACGGTCCCAAGGGCCGAATGACATCAGCGGAAGCCATGAACCCGCCCCATGCCTTTGTTCTTCTACTTCTCCCTCTCTCTCTCTCTCCCTCGATCCCAACCCACCCTCATTCTCCCTTTCTCCTCGTCGTCCCCCCACCAGCCTCGGCACGGCACCATGGACGGCCCCAAGGGCCGAATGACATCATGACCTTGCCTTGTTGCCCCTTGTCTTGCGTTCTTCTCCTCGCACCCTCCTCTCTTCTCGTCTCGTCCTCCCCCCCCACCAGCCTTGGTGGCACCATGGACGGCCCCAAGGGCCGAATGACATCAGCAGAAGTCATGGCTCCACTGCACTTGTCTCCATGTTTTCTTCTCCCTTGTCTCGTCCTCCCCCCCCACCAGCCTCGGCACCATGGACGGCCCCAAGGGCCGAATGACATCAGCGGAGGTGGAGGGGGAGTTGCGAGCGCTGGAGGGGCAGGCGCAGATCACAGCAGTGAGTTGGTTGGATGCTGAGTTGACTCTTGGGGCCACGGGTTGCAGCTTGCATAGCAGCAGAGGCGGAGGTGGAGGGGGGGTTGCGAGCTTTGGAAGGGCAGGCGCAGATCACAGCGGTGAGTGGGTGGGTGGGTTTTGTTGTGACTCTTGCGTGGCAGCAGTATCAGAGAGGGGGTGTGGGAGGTGGAGGGGGAGTTGCGAGCGCTGGAGGGGCAGGCGCAGATCACAACGGTGAGTGGGTGGCTCCCCAGGTGACTTATGAGCTGACGCTTGAGTTGACTCATGGGTTGACTCGTGGATCCCGTGGGTGGGTTGCAACTTGCAACTTGCATAGAAGCAGAGGTGGTGGAGGAGGAGGAGGAGGGGGAGTTGCGAGCACTGGAAGGACAGGCACACGGTGTTGACCCTTGAGCTGGTTCCTCTGGTGACCTATCAGCTGACTTTAGGAGTGACTCGTGGGTTACTCCCATGGGTTGCAACTCCTTTGTCATCAGCAGAGGTAGAAGGGGAGTTGCGAGCGCTGGAAGGGCAGGCGCAGGTCACAGCGGTGAGTGGGTGGGTGGATTCTGTCTTGACCCGTGAGCTGGGTCTTCCTCTGGTGACCTATCAGCTGACTTTAGGAGTGACTCGTGGGTTACTCCCATGGGTTGCAACTCCTTTGTCAGCTTGCGGAGGTAGAGGGGGAGTTGCGAGCGCTGGAAGGGCAGGCGCAGATCACAGCGGTGAGTGGGCGGATGCTGTGGTGACTCCCGTGGTGGCTCCTCTGGCGGCTTATGAGCAGACTCATGGATTGACTCGTCGGTCCCATCCCATCCCATGGGTTGCGATTCGCATAGCAGCAGCGGAGGTGGAGGGGGGGCTGCGAGCTTTGGAAGGGCAGGCGCAGGTCACAGCGGTGAGTGGTTTGATTTTCCAACAACTTGCATGCATAGCATCCCAGAGAGAGGCATCGGGGGAGGTAGAGGTGGTGGGAAGGTTGCGAGTGCTGGAAGCAGGTCACAGCGGTGAGTGCGTGAAGATTTCAACAACTTGCATAGCAGCAGAGATCAAAGGGGGGTGGGAGGGGGAGGTGGTGGGGAGTTGCGAGCGCTGGAGGGGGAGTGTGCCACTTTTTTTTAGGCGCCTCAAAACCGCTTGTGAACTGAGACGATTTTTTAGGCGCCTCAAAACTGAGACGATTTTAGAGGCGCCTCAAAAAGAATTGCGAGCGTTGGAGGGGGAGTATGCCACTTTTGGGAATTCTCAAAAGGGACACAATCTGCGGCAGCTGCAGCAGGTGTTGTTGTCACTCAGAGTACTTATTCCTCCACTCTTCCCTCTCACTCCTCCCCCCCTCCTCGGATCCCCCCCCCCCCCCCCCCCGCGTCCCCCCCCTCCTTCCCCTCACCCACACTGTACCACGAGTTGGCGAATCTGGAGCAGCTGCAGCAGTAGCTGCGATTCCCTCTCTCCTCTCTCCTCCCATCCCCCTCCTGCCTTCACCCTTTCACCCTGAACCTTAAACCTTATACCCGAAACCTTCCCCCCGACACCCCTTCCCCACCCCATCAGGAGCTGTACCACGAGCTGGCGAATCTGGAACAGCTGCAGCAGTCGAGTGGCGATTCACGTTCCTCTTATCCCCTCCCTGTTCTCCTTTCCCCCTTTTCTCCCCCATCCTTCCACTGCCCCACCCCATCAGGAGCTGTACCACGAGCTGGCGAATCTGGAACAGCTGCAGCAGTCGAGTGGCGATTCACGTTCCTCTTATCCCCTCCCTGTTCTCCTTTCCCCCTTTTCTCCCCCATCCTTCCACTGCCCCACCCCATCAGGAGCTGTACCACGAGCTGGCGAATCTGGAACAGCTGCAGCAGTCGAGTGGCGATTCACGTTCCTCTTATCCCCTCCCTGTTCTCCTTTCCCCCTTTTCTCCCCCATCCTTCCACTGCCCCACCCCATCAGGAGCTGTACCACGAGCTGGCGAATCTGGAACAGCTGCAGCAGTCGAGTGGCGATTCACGTTCCTCTTATCCCCTCCCTGTTCTCCTTTCCCCCTTTCTCCCCCATCCTTCCACTGCCCCACCCCATCAGGAGCTGTACCACGAGCTGGCGAATCTGGAACAGCTGCAGCAGTCGTTGGACAGACGAATGAAGCAGGATTCGGACTCTGCCATCAACAGAGGTACGAGGCTTGCTTGCTATGCTGCCCCTGTCTTGTCTTGCTGAGGTGCTTGGGAGAACGAGGAGTTGGCAGATCTGCAGCAGCAGCTGCAGCAGTCGTTGGACAGACGAATGAAGCAGGATTCGGACTCTGCCATCAACAGAGGTACGAGGCTTGCTTGCTATGCTGCCCCTGTCTTGTCTTGCTGAGGTGCTTGGGAGAACGAGGAGTTGGCAGATCTGCAGCAGCAGCTGCAGCAGTCGTTGGACAGACGAATGAAGCAGGATTCGGATTCTGCCATCAACAGAGGTACGAGGCTGTGCCCTGCCTGCCACAATGCTGCCTTGGTCTTGTCCTGCGGTAGATTTGAGTGGAGGTGCTTGGACGAGCATGAGGACTTGGCGAATTTGGAGCAGCTGCAGCAGTCACTGCACAGACGAATGAAGCAGGACACAGACTCTGCTGTCAACAGAGGTACGAGGCTATGCTACCCTTTCACGAGAATTGAGAGTAGAATTGAGCCATGGTGCTTGCTTGGGAGCACAAGGAATTTGCAGGTCTGGACAGACGGATGAAGGAGGACTTGGTTTCAGCCGTCAACAGAGGTATGATGCTGCCCCCTATGTTTTCGAGCAACAGAGGACGTTTGCTGGCCGGTCTTGTCTTGGTAAGAAGATTGAGTGAGGCGTTTGGGGGCAATAGGAGTTGGCAGATCTGCAGAAGCAGTCACTGGACAGACGGATGAAGCAGGATTCGGACTGCTGCCAACAGAGGTGGGTGGGTGGGTGGATGGTGGCAGATATTTGTATATAGTGAAAGGGCGAGTTATGCAAGGCTAAACAGGTAGACATGGGCAACGGACCGAGTCGAGTAAAACTCGACTCGGTCTGGGCCAAAACTCGACCGAGTTCGAGCTCGAGTCGGGTGAAACCCAGTCAAGTTTTTTTGCCAAGGTTCAGGACTCGAGACTCGACTGTATAAGGGCGAGTTTTTTAAAACTCGACCGGCGCTATTCATACACTCGGTCGAGTCCTAGTTAATCTCGGCTCGGCGGGGGGGAGGGGGGGGGGGACACACCATAGAAAAGTGAGACCCGAGGCTTATTTTCGTGCATGGTTTTTTGTTGTATACCCTATATTATTGTACGCCTGCGACGCTGCGTAGCCGCCTCCACCTGGTCTTCCCCCCCCCCCCTCCTCCCGCATGATCGCCACGGTGGGTTCCTCCCGCCCCCGCTTTCCCGCCGTTGGTGTTCTTACTTGTCAGCTGCTTGAATTTCGCCATGCTAAATCAGTAGATCGACCGTTACATTATTAAATAGTAGCGTTTCCTCCTCCCCAAACCCTAATCGAAACCAACCATACAATAAAACCTCGACCCTAACTAAGCGTAAACCTAGATCTACGTTGCCCCTGAACCGATCTTAAGTTTAAGAAGAAAAAACAGCCTTGCGTTTGGCTGGTTTGGCTCTGGAAACTACGGACGACATGTTGAGGAAGGTGACTGACTGAAATCGAGATCTGAAAATGGACCCGCAAAACTTCAACTTTCGAAATTTGTATGCCCACCCCACCCCAATGTCGCGACGAGTTTTTCGTAAACTCGCCGAGTCCAGAAAACTCTACGAGTCTGGAAAAAACTCGACATGGGGCCCGAGCTTGGACCGAGTTTTTTTAAAACACGGCGGGTAAAACTCGACTCGGTCTGGTCGAGTTTTTTCAACAGGTCCTCGCACTCGACACTCGACCAGTAACGAGTCCCCCGATCGAGTCGAGCTTGGAAACTGGACTCTTTGCCCATGTCTATAAACAGGTGCAGATGCGGGCAGAGGTGAAGGTGCAGGAGAAGATAGTGAAGGCATGGAGCCATGGGGCACCTCTCACCCCACAATTCCTGTCACATCTCACTCAACCCATCTCAACTGTACCCAACTGAACCCAACCCATCCAAACCCACCCTTTTCATGCAGAGCTGATAGCACAGATGCGGGCAGAGATGAAGGCACAGGAGAAGATAGTGAAGACGATGAAGAAAAAAGGGCTCTGGTCTAAAACCATGGACGAGGTGGGTGACCTGGTGTGAAGTGGTGTGAGTGAGGGGGTGTGAGGGGGTGTGAGGGGGTGTGAGGTGGTGTGAGGTGGTGTGAGGTGGTGTGAGGTGGTGCGCGTGCGTGCAGTATGTGTGGTACCTGTTACCAGTGAAGACGATGAAGAAGAAAGGGCTCTGGTCCAAAACCATGGATGAGGTGAGGTGGTGTGTGAGAATCATGTATGTGAGGAAGGGAGGCAGAAGAAGGGAGATGATGAAGAAGAAAGGGCTCTGGTCCAAAACCATGGATGAGGTGAGGTGGTGTGTGAGAATCATGTATGTGAGGAAGGGAGGCAGAAGAAGGGAGATGATGAAGAAGAAAGGGCTCTGGTCCAAAACCATGGATGAGGTGAGGTGGTGTGTGAGAATCATGTATGTGAGGAAGGGAGGCAGAAGAAGGGAGATGATGAAGAAGAAAGGGCTCTGGTCCAAAACCATGGATGAGGTGAGGTGGTGTGTGAGAATCATGTATGTGAGGAAGGGAGGCAGAAGAAGGGAGATGATGAAGAAGAAAGGGCTCTGGTCCAAAACCATGGATGAGGTGAGGTGGTGTGTGAGAATCATGTATGTGAGGAAGGGAGGCAGAAGAAGGGAGATGATGAAGAAGAAAGGGCTCTGGTCCAAAACCATGGATGAGGTGAGGTGGTGTGTGAGAATCATGTATGTGAGGAAGGGAGGCAGAAGAAGGGAGATGATGAAGAAGAAAGGGCTCTGGTCCAAAACCATGGATGAGGTGAGGTGGTGTGTGAGAATCATGTATGTGAGGAAGGGAGGCAGAAGAAGGGAGATGATGAAGAAGAAAGGGCTCTGGTCCAAAACCATGGATGAGGTGAGGTGGTGTGTGAGAATCATGTATGTGAGGAAGGGAGCTGGTGTGAGCTGGTGTGAGTGAGTCATGCTGTGAAGGACGGAGCGTGTTTGTCTGCAGGTGGGGGGAGAGGCTGGTTCAGGTGGTGACCTGACCTGACCACTGTGGTACTTTATTCCACCTCCTCAAACCGTTGTGATACTTCATGTTACTCCCTCAAATTCCCTGTGTTGTCTACACTGCACGGCAGGTGGTGGAGAAGCTGGTTCAGGTGGTCATATTCCTGCACGACCAGATTGTAGACGTGTTTGGTGCTGATGGTGAGTGCTATCTGAACCGAGGGAGTTGCTGCTTGCTTGCATACATGCACAATCGGCTTGTTACCACACTCTCCGTAAGTGCATCAGGTGATCATATTCCTGCACGACCAGATCGTCAACGTGTTTGAGGCCGATGGTGAGTGCCCGTGTGGACATGCCTTGTGCTGCCATGCCATGCCATGCCATGCCATGCCATGCCATGTGCTTGCACAAACAACCTAGTGCGCCAGGTGGTGCAACCTGCAGGAGCAGGAATAGCAGGAATGCACTCTTCGTAAGTGCGCCAGGTGGTCATATTCCTGCTCCTGCAGCACCAGATTGGGGACGTGTTTGGGGCCAATGGCGAATGCCAGCTGGAGCATGTATGAATGAGCATGAGCCTGATGGTGGTTCATGCATGCCTGTTGCTGCATGCACGCATGGGCACCTCATGGCGGCATTCCTCCCACAACTCATTTCATCTCTCGCTCTATTCCTCTTCTCCCCTCCCCTTCCTTTGTACCCCTATTTCTTCCTCCTCTCTCTATACCACCCATATCAGTGGTGAAGGTGGGTCGTCTCACGTCCGGGACGCCTCTCACAGCGGCTGATCTGAGGAAGCTCGGAGTGAACGGCATGGCACTGCAGTACCCATCACCCGCTCCCCTCTCCCCCCTCCCCCTCACCTCCTTGCAGTGGTGAAGGTGGGTCGCCTCATGTCCGGCACCCTTCCCACGGCGGCTGATCTGAGGAAACTCGGAGTGAACGGCATGGCGCTGCAATATGCCAACATAGTTAACATGATTGACACCATGGTATGTGTTACTCTGCAATTCAATGTTCTCTTCTCTCTCCCTTCGCATTGATGCCGGTGGTAGCAATCAGCCCAGCAATCAGCTGGGAGTGAGTGAACGGCATGGCGCTGCAGTACGCCAACATAGTCAACATGATCGACACCATGGTGAGTTATGTGCTGCTCTCTCTGGTATCCTATGCTCTCTCTCTCCCTTCATGCCGGTGGCTGCAATGAGCTCGGAGTGAACGGCATGGCGCTGCAGTACGCCAACATAGTCAACATGATCGATACCATGGTAGGTTCTCTCTGATCCATGCTATTATGGTACACTGTTTCTCCCTGTGGTACGTGCTGCTCTCTCTGCTATGCTATGCTCTCTCTCTCCCTTCATGCCAGTTGATGCAATCAGCTCGGAGTGAACGGCATGGCGCTGCAGTACGCCAACATTGTCAACATGATCGACACCATGGTATGAGATGCTCTCTCTCTTCACCGTGTGGATGATCCTGCTTGCCTCTCATGGCACTACAATACGCCAACATTGTCAACATGATTGATACCATGCTATGCCCTCTGCTCCTTCGGCTCGCTTCTATCTGTGCTCTCATCCTCCCCAGCCCATCTACTTTCTAGACGTTCAAACTTCTCCACGCGTCACCCCATCCCCCCTATCTCTTCCATATGTCGTGCTCTCTCCCTATCAGGTGATGAGACCAGACCAGTGTGTGTGGTTTTTTCAGGCGCCCGAAAAATGTGTCCAGCGTGTGTGGAGACTCAGAGGGAGGCGCTTTACTCCGCCCTGCCTGCTTTTGTCCGCGGACACAGCTCATCCTCCCATGTTCAACCATTTTTGAGGCGCCTCAAGAAGCCTGCTTTTGTCCGTGGACACAGCTCATCCTCCCATGTTCAACCATGCTTCCCGTTGTCTGTCTGGGCCCGTATTCCCCTATGTCGTTTTCCCCTTCTATTCTCGTTCCCTCTCTCTCTCCCCCAACCCAGGTGATGCGGCCAGCATGTGTAGTGTAGAGACATAGAGGGAGGCGTGCTACTCCTCCCTGCCTGCTTCTACCTGTGGCCTTATCCACCCGTATTTTTCTTGTCCCCCACTCTACTCTCTCGTCTTCAACTCTCTCTCCTTCCCAGGTGATGCGTCCAGCGTGTGTGGAGACACAGAGGGAAGCGCTTTTCTCTGCCCTGCCCGCTTCTGTCTGTGGGCGGCTGAAACGCACGCTGCTGCAGTCACAAGATATAGAGCAGGTGGGTGTGATGTGGTGTGGTGGGGCGTGGTGTGGTGCAGTGTGGTATTGAGTTGAAGTGTCACCGTGCGCTCGCTACTCTACTGGTTTCTGTCTGTGGCCGGTTGAAGCGCAAACTCCTGCAGTCGCAAGACATAGAGCAGATAGGTGTAGTGCGGTCGGGTGGGTTGGGGTGGGGTGGGGTGGGGTGGGTTGTGGCGTCATGTGGTGTGGTGTGGTGTGGTGTGGTGTGGTGTGGTGTGGTGTGGTGTGGTGTGGTGTGATGTGTTGGGTGCGATGGGTGGGATAAGGTGTGATGCAGCATGGTGTGATGTGGTGTGGTGTGGTGTGATGTGACGTCCACTCCACACCTCCCGTAAACTCAATCCCGTTCTTCACACAAAAGGCATCCGGCAGAAGATGGAGGCGTTTGCTCGACTGGCTGGTTGTTGAAAAGATGACTCGTCCATACGCATACACACACCTACGGTCCACCCCATTCATTCCCCCCGCCCGTCCCCTTTCCTCCACACACGCCATCCCCTTCCCCCCTTCCCCCTTGCAGTAGAACCCGGCAGAAGATGGGGGCTGTGCTGAATTGGCTGGTTGTTGACAAGATGACTCCTATGCACGACGCATCCACTCACCCCCCTGCCCCTTGGCTTCCTCCCACATGCACCCTGTTATCCCCGCTCTCTTTTTGCTCTCTCTCACATGCAGGAGAGCACGGCGAGCATCCGACAGAAGATGGAGGCGGTGCTGGACTGGCTGGTTGTTTATGAGATGCTGTACGCACTTACACCACCTCATCCCCCCTCCCCACCCTACCGCACACTGCTGGACCCTCCTTCCTCCCCCCTCTTTCTCCATGCAGGAGCACGGAGAGCATCCGACAGGAGATGGAGGCGGTGCTGGACTGAAGGCCTGGTCGCTTTGAGATGACTCCTACACGCTTATACACACTTCCTCCGCCTTCCCACCCCTCCTCCACAGGACAGCACGGAGAGCATTCGGCAGAAGATGGAGGCGGTGCTGGACTGGCTGTTTGTTGAGAAGATGACCTGTACACACTCATACACCACCTCATCCCACACTGCTGCCCCCCCCCTTCCCCCTCTCACACTGTGCAGGAGAGCACGGAGAGCATTCGGCAGAAGATGGAAGCAGTGCTGGATTGGCTGGTGACCATGGCGGAAAACACCATCCGGTACGTTGGGATTGAAGCACTAGGTGTGTTCAATCTTTACATGGATCGATGGTTCAATGCAGCTTAGGATTCGACATCAGCTTCTGAGTTCATGCTTTGTCATGCGAAAGAGATGGCTTGCAGCAGGAGATGGAGGCGGTGCTGGACTGGCGGGTGACCATGGCGGAAAACACCATCCGGTACGTTCATGCTCATCATGATTCGGTATGTTCCGAGTGGGTATGAATGATCACTTGATGGGTTCATCATGCTTGGTCATGCGAGGCAGCTTGCAGCAGAAGATGGAGGCGGTGCTGGACTGGCGGGTGACCATGGCGGAAAACACCATCCGGTACGTTGGTGCTTAATATTCTTTGGTATGTTCATTCTTGGTCATGCTGAGGGGGTCTTGCAGCAGAAGATGGAAGCGGTGCTGGACTGGCTGGTTACTATGGCAGGAAACACCATTCGGTACGTTGGGGTTGAAGCGCTCATTTCAGTGGGTTCAATATTTAGATGGATCGATGGGTCAATGCAACTTAGAATCCGGCATCAGCTTCTAAAGTCATGCTTCCTCATGCAGGCAAGACGGCTTGCAGCAGGAGATGGGGATGGTGCTGGACTGGCTGGTGACCATACCGTGACCTTTCTCTCATTCTCCGATCTCTCTTCCCATCCCCAGGCATCAGCTTCTGGATTCATGCTTCTTCATGCGAGCGACACGGCTTGCAGCAGGAGATGGGGGCGGTGCTGGACTGGCTGGTGCCCATGCCATGGTCTTTCTCTCATTATTCTTTGTGCTCACATGCAGGTTTGGCCTAGACAGCACACGGACCCGACGCTCCTGCAGACGCTGCTTCAGCTACCTGTAACCTTCCCCCCCCATTTTCTCTCCACTTCTCTTTCTCTTCCCATGTAGGTTCGGGCTGGACAGCAGGGTGCAGGGGCACACGGACCTGACGCTCCTGCAGACGCTGCAGCATGTGGATCACCTCAAGATGGAGCGCCTCGTGCTGCTGCTGCTCGTGGGGCTGCAGCACCTCGCCAGCCGCAGTGCGGATCATGACTGGAGCCCGGTGCCCCGCGGGGTGGTGCTTGCGCCGGTGTATTCGCCTAGAGTGCTGTCTCCTGATCGCGCCGGTTCTTCTGCTGCTGGTGGTGGTGTTTCTGCTGCTGGTGGTGGTGATGGTATTGGTGTTGTTGGTGATGGCGCTGAAACGGCTGCTGCTGCAGGTGAATCAGATGGGCTGGTGGTTCGTGCTAATGGGGAGAAGACTGGAGAGATGGGAGAGAAAATCATCACTGTCGAAACAGCCTCTGCCAAGGCCGGTGCCGCTGCCACTGATGCTGGTACTGCTGCGGCTAATATTGCTCCTGCTGCCGGACTTTTGGCTGCTTCTGAGGAGGCAATTGCGTGTGCAACAGACGAGTTCCGATTCCCATTGTCAAAGTCCTCTTCGGTTGAGGCACAGGGGCCGGAAACTGAAGGAGCAGCAGCAGCAGCAGCAGGAGCAGCAGCAGCGGGAGGAGCAGCAGGAGCAGCAGGAGCAGCGGGAACAGCAGCAGCAGCAGAGGCAGAGCCAGCAGTTGTGCCGCCCATCTCTCTCTCCCTTGCCCGTCGCAGCCTCTCAGAGAGTGTCCCAACCGTGGGCGACTGGGAAACCCTGCCCCGGCGCATTGCGGCAATGGAGGAGGAGGAGAAGGCACGGGCGGAAGAAGGCAGTGTGGATTCTGCAGCAGAAGGGTTAGGGTCTGGGGAAACCGGTCGGCCTCGATCGGCTGGTCTGGAAGCGGGTGCGGTGGATGCGGCAGGCTCGGCCGAGCCTCCGGTGTGGCGGCAGGTCCGGCAGGCGTCTCTTAGTGAAGTGTCTCTGGAGCCGGTACCAGAGGTGGAGGTGATGGAAGGGGAGGAGGGAGAGGAGGAGGGAGAGGGAGAGAAGGGAGCGCGAGAGGAGGGAGAGGAGGAGGTGCATGAGAAAGAAAAGGACGATCTGTTGGCTCCTCTAGCGTCTAAGACCGGGGGAGGTGGTGGTAGTCGACCTTCTAGCAGCGGAGGGAAGCTTGTACCAACTGCTACCGCTACTGCTGCTGCTGCTGTTGGTGCTTCCACAGGAGAGGATGCGGAATCTCCTGCTGCCGCTGCTCGTAGGGCGCTAGCTAGCGGCATGGGCACCAGCCGTAAGAGTTTAGAAAACGCCCTTCGTATGGGGGGTAATGCAGGGAAACGCCCTGTGGATGCTGCCGGAGCTTTCGGGAGCCCGTTCGACCGAACCAAGCCGCCAGGCTCGGCAGCAGGCTCGGGGCCGTTGGCAGGCGAAGCGCTGCTGGCAGCGATGACCATGAGCCAGGGCTTTGGTCCGGCAGCCCGAGGCGCAGCTTCGGAAGAGATGATGGAGGCGATGCGAGAAGCCACGTACGGCCGAAGCAGGAGCCACACCTTTGCCATGGCGGCTCGGCCCGAACCTAACCCGAGGTTCTTCACGAAATCCCTAAGCAGATACAGCCTGTTGAGGCGAATGGAGGCAGAGGAAGCAGGGGGGGGTGGTGGTGGGGGTGGTGCGGGCAGCAGCAGCAGTGGGGGAGGGTCGGTCTTTGTGGCGCCTCAGCGGTTTTTACCAATGACTCCTGCAACAGTGGATGTAGATCGCATTCACGATGTGCAGCCGGATTTGGATTTGAGCAGTGTGGCTGCGCCTAGACTGGGAGGGAGACTGCTGTAGGGCTGCTGCTACTGGTGCTTGTAGGGTTGCTGCTGGAAGGGCTGCTGCTGCTGGTGGTGGTGGGTCAGTCAGTGACTTTGTGCTGGTATAGTGTGTATGCGGCTGGCATGAGCAGTGATGAAGCTTCAGAAATATCAACTTGTGACTTCACCAACACATTTTCCATGAGGGCGGTCTTCTCTTCCCCTGACAATGAGGGTAGTCAGGGCAGGCAGCTATTTGAGGTTACAATCAGGGTATACCGAAGTTTGGAAGGGCAGGCTGTTGAGGTTTGGGTTGATGCTCATTAGGTTTTCTTAAAAACAACTACCTAGCAGGGTGTAGTCCATTCCTAGTGTAGTGCTGGTTGTATTATTTATGTAGTCAATATGCTACCGGTATGTGTGAGTGAGGGTATTGCTTCAACTTATGAAGCTAGCCAGGTTGGTGTTGGGCTGAGAAAAGCCCTTAGGATCTTTGCAAGGCTAAACTCAGAGTAGAAGTGTTTGTACGGTAGTTGCGGAAGCGTTTTAATGATAAGTATTGAACCACCTTGGGCTAGTATGTGAGGGCAAGATAGATTGATTATAAGAAAGTAATACAAGCCTTTTATAAGATTACAAGGAATATGAAAGGGTGCAACTAATAACTATTTTACTGTTGCTATTGCGGTTCGATACAGTGACGACTCGGGCAACTGCTCAGTATCGAGTCAGTTGTTTGTCCTTGCTGTCGTGCTGTATTTGTCAAGTCAAAGGTCGCTGGCCTTTGACCTTCGCGTAACCTCCAGCAGTTACTTTCTCTTGTCAACCTCCGATGGTTGACTCGCCGTTGCTTCGTTGTAGTTTGCTTCGCTTGCAGTTCAGTGTTTCGACACATCAGAAGCGCTTAAGTCACTTGTTTCCAACACTCCCCTTCGCTTCTGGAGTGTCGCCGCTGGTGACGTGGCTTTGTCCAGTCAGCATCATGCAGTACTCGAACTTCTGTTTTCCGAGCTTCTTGGTCAAGTAATCAGCTGCCATTTCGGACGTGGGACAGTAGGACAGCTCAAGTCTCCCCTTCTCGATCTCGTCCTTCACGAAGAAATATCGCAGGGCGATGTGCTTCGTTCTGTTCGCGAATCCATTCTTGTTGGCGATGCGAATTGCTGACTGATTGTCGCAAAACAGAGAGAAGCTGGGTAACTGGGCCAGCTTCGCTTCTTCCAGTAGTTCGCGAAGGTATAATCCTTCCTTGGTGGCAGAGCATGTCAGAATGTGATGTTTGTGTAGCCTGCAGTGGGGTACTCTGTAGCGAGTACAGCCCGAATTAGGGTTTGCTATATGTACTCTACTGCATGCTAGTGAAAACCCTCTTTCGTGTTTATCATTCCTGCCTCTTCATCTTGACAGAGCAGAGTGCAATATATTCTGCTTCAGCTGAGGAGAGAGCGATTAGTTCCTGCTTGCTCGACTGCCACGAGATAGGCCCGATAGGTTCAAGTCGATAGATGTTGTCAGATTACAATTGTATCTCTAGGCTACAGTTGGGTCACTCCTTAGTGAGTACAACACTTTAGGGTTAGGTTTCTCCTACTTGTACTCACCTCTTGCCTAGTCCAATCCATCATTCGTAGTTCTATTCTTGACATGGTATCAGAGTAGGAACCGTTCCTACATGGGCCCACCGTTCCGCCTAGTGGTAGCGCCACGCCCTACACAGTAGCCAGCGCGCTGGCGCCCCTAGCTCTCACTGTCGCGACCCTTGCAGCCCGTGCGCTGCCCCTGCGACCGCGCTGCCCCTGCAGCCGTGCTCGCCCCTACGACCGTGCTGCCCCTTGCAGCCGTGCTCGCCCCTGCTACCGTGCTGCCCCTGCAGCCGCGCCTGCCCCTGTGGCACGCGCGCTGCTCCTCCAGCCCGTACGCTGCCCCAGCAGCCCGTTCACGCTGCCCCTGCAGCCGCGCGTCGCCTCTGCAGCCAGCCCGCGCGTCGCCCCTGGAGCCCGCGCGCCGCCTCTGCAGCCCGTCCTCGCGGACCCTGCAGCTCGCGCGTCGCCCCTGGAGCCCGCGCGCCGCCTTTGCAGCCCGTCCTCGCGGACCCTGCAGCCCGCGCGTCGCCCCTGGAGCCCGCGCGCCGCCTCTGCAGCCCGTCCTCGCGGACCCTGCAGCCCGCGCGTTGCCCCTGGAGCCCGCGCGCCGCCTCTGCAGCCCGTCCGAGCGGCCCCTGCAGCCCGTACGAGCTGCCTTTGCAGCCAGCGCGGCGCCCCTGCAGCCCGCGCGTCCTGCCCCTGCAACCTGCGCCAGCGCCCTGCCCTGCGCGCGCTGACGCCCTGCCCTGCGCCAGCGCCCTGCCCTGCGCCCGCGCCCTGCCCTGCACCAGCGCCCTGCCCTGCGCCAGCGCCCTGCTATACCCTAAATATAATTAAATTGTTTATTAAAAAAAAAAAAAAAAAAAAAAAGGGACCCTAGGTGCTTCTACCCTAGGAGCTACTGCCTACTACTGCCCTGCTGTGGCGCGCACCGCCCTGCTCTGGCCGCGCGCCACCCTGCTGCTGTTACTACTGCTGCTGCTCCTACTCGTGCTACTGGGAGTGGAGGAGGTGCTGCTGGGAGTGCAGGAGGTGCTGCTGGCGCTGTAGGAGCTGGAGGTGCTGGACCTACTCCTGACCGTCACTGTCTGTCATGGCCACATCCGCGGCAGTTGCTGCGGCCAGGGGTGGACAGCAGCGGGCACTGCTTCTCCCGGACGACCCCACCCCTCAGCAGCTTCGTGAGTGGGTTATTCAGCGAGGTCGTCCTGGTGGTGGAGGTTATCGTTTTGTTAGGACTGCTGCTCTTGGTGTTAGTGAGTCTGCTGCCGCTCCAGGTGCTAGTGAGTCTGCTGCCGCTCTAGGTGCCCGTGAGTCTACCGACGCTCTAGGTGCTAGTGCGTCTACTACCACAGGTCCTGCCTCAGCTGAGGTCTTGCACACTTTCACGCTTGACTCAGGCGCGTCACGTTGCTTCTTCCGTGATTGCACCACAGTCACACCACTCACAGCACCTGTCCCAGTCTCACTGGCTGACCCCTCTGGGGGCCCAGTGGTTGCGAGAGCCTCCACGGTCCTCCCTTGTCCAGCAGTCCCCTCTGGTTCTTTGTCAGGTCTCCACCTCCCCACGTTCTCGACGAACTTGGTGAGCAACGTTGCCATTCAGGATGTCTGGGTTGATACCTTTATTCCTGGAGGGCAGCGTGTGGCGATCGGTACATGCTCCCGGACTGGCCGTCACCTGGCTACGTTCACTCGTCAGCCTGGGTCTAGTCTGTACACACTGACCACTGCGTCTGCACAGGTGGCTGAGTCAGGTCAGGTAGCTGCGTCGAGTCGAGCGTCTGCGTCAGGGCAGTTAGCTGCGTCTTGCTCGTGCAGAGTACTCACGCACGAGACTCAGCGCTGGCACCACCGTCTTGGTCACCCCTCCCTGCAGCGTCTGCGTGGCATGCACTCCCGGCTCCTGGTCTCTGGCCTCCCTGGGACCCTGCCCCCCCTCCCGCGCTCACTTGCGCCGCCGTGCCTTCCTTGCGTCGAGGGGCAGCAGCGCGCCGCTCCTCACTCCTCCGAGTTTCCTCCGACCACTGCTCCTCTGCAGACTCTCCACATGGACGTGTGGGGCCCGGCCCCCGTCGGTGGGACGGACCAGGAGCGCTACTTCCTGCTGGTTGTTGACGACTACACACGCTACACCACAGTCTTCCCCTTGCGTCGCAAGGCGGACGTCAGCAGTGTTTTGATCCCTTGGATCCGTGCTACTCGTCTCCAGCTACACGAGCGCTTTCATCAGGACTTCCCAGTCCTGCGTCTGCACTCTGACAGGGGTGGTGAGTTCTCTTCTGGCGTCCTTGAGACGTTCTGCCAGGATGAGGGCATCGCCCAGTCGTTCACGCTTCCGGCCTCTCCGCAGCAAAATGGGATCGTTGAGCGTCGCATTGGCCTGATCATGGAGGTTGCTCGTACCTCCATGATCCATGCGGCTGCTCCCCATTTCCTGTGGCCGTTTGCGGTCCGATACGCCGCGCATCAGCTCAACCTCTGGCCCCGTGTCTCTGCTCCAGAGACCTCGCCCACACTTCGTTGGACGGGACAGCCTGGTGATGTGTCGTTGTTTCGGGTCTGGGGCGCGCTCTCCCTTGTTCGCGATACCAAAGCGAGCAAGCTCTCTCCTCGCACTCTCCGCTGTGTCTTCCTGGGCTTCCCCACCGACGCTCCACCCTGGCAGTTCTACCACCCTGCCTCGCGTCGTGTTCTCTCCTCTCAGGACGTCACCTTCGACGAGTCGGTCTGTTACTACCGACTTCACCCGCACGCGTCCCACCCGGTCCCCCTTGCACCCCTCTTCCTGGTACCAGTCCCCCCCCCGGTAGACCCCCTCCCCCCACAGGGTCCTGCTCCCTCAGGTGTGTCCCAGGTAGACCCACCCCCCTTGGATGAGCCAGTTGAGATCTCTTCTGACTCCTCTGACTCACCTGAGGGGGGTGACGCCGTCGCCGACGACACGGCGACCACTCGCCACACTCCTCGCTTGGCGACCCCCCCGGGTTTCCCGCCACGGCCATCTTCGCCGCCTCCGCAGCCTGCTGCTGTGGACTCTGGAGCTGAGACTACTGGAGCTGGGGCTGGGGGTGGTGAGTCTGGGGGTGCCCGCTCTCCTCGTGTGGCTACCCCCCCCGGGTTCCCACCTCTGCCGTCTTCGCCGCCTCTGCAGCCTACTGCTGTGGACACTGGAGCAGAGACTGAGGGTGCTGGGACTGAGGGTGCTGGGACTGAGGGTACTGAGCCTGAGGGTGCTGGGACTGAGGGTGCTGAGACTGAGGGTGCTGAGACTGAGGGTGCTGGGACTGAGGGTGCTGAGCCTGAGGGTGCTGGGACTGAGGGTACTGAGACTTTGGGTGCTGACTCTGGGGGTGCTGAGACTTCGGGTGCTGCGAGTCCTTCTGGAGGTCCTGGAGCTGAAGGTACTGGAGCTACTTGGCCTGGAGGTCCTACTGGAGGTACTAGAGGTACT